ATAATTTTGAAAGAGATTATAAAAAGGTAAATTTATTATATATATTTATAATTTGGTTACAAAAAAAAATGTGATAGCGATTATATATGTATTGTTCTTATAAAGAGGGATTTTATATTTTAAAAAGTCGGGGGCACAAATTAGTGTGATTCTATAGAGGGTGTGATTATAAAGGAGGCGATTATAAAGAGGGAAGACTGTAATTCTATATAACGAACTCTTTTTTTGGCCAGAATCTAGGGTTCGGTATAGAAGGAGTTGACTGTACTATGCATATCGTTGGGCATTGAAATTATTTAACTAATCCGATGTCTTATGACTTGACTAGAACTGGGTAAATAACCATAGTTCAAAAGTCCGAATAGTGTCATTAACAATACTGTGCAAGTGTGATAAGTACGTACGCTGTAAACGTGTAAAATGCTCTGTACTACAAAAATACACTACAACACTATACAAATACTAACTAAAACTACTCAAACTACTCTAATTCAACCCTAATATTCGATCGAGGCGTGGAAAGACTTGGCCCGAGTAACTGGGGTCAATTACTGCGTCACGAATCTCTTAATACTAAGTCACATGATTTGGACACTAAGTCCTATCGTTAATACAGATTTTACTTTTCAGGAGGGGATTTTAGAGACAAGCACCTAATAGATGCTGAACTCCAACCGTGAGTTGAGAGCAGAAAACTGTCTTTATTCAGAGCGAAATGGTTTCGCTTATATACTTTTCAATTACAGACTAAAAATAGTTACAATAACATAAACCGAACAAAAAAACATCAATCGATACTATTTAATCGATCGAATAAAACGAAACTATAAAATAAATCGAAATGAAAAAATTGATCGAGTCAAAGAAATAACAGAAATCGAAGAAATATAAGAAATCGACTTTATACTACGTCGGATCCGCAGTACTTCCGGGGGTAATTTACACTTACAACGCACAGTACTTTTGAAAAACAGAAAAAAAAGGACATAAATTTAGCATAAAGTCGATTTCTTTCTTTATTTTTCAATATTCGAATTATTAATAATTTCTCGTCGTCATATCTATTTGTATTTTTCAGTTATTTGAATTTGAATCGCGTCGTGCGTTTAACTAATTAACTATTTATCCGAAAATTTAAGCTATATTGTATTTTTAAAGGTTGTATTTGTATTACATTCATCACGTGTGTATAATACATTTACATTAATTATTAACCAATGTATTGTTGTTACTTATTTATTGTTTAAACAATGAGTGTGATAAAACGCTATCAATATCTAATCAATTCCATTATTATTTTTATTACCTAAAAAACAACGATCACCTAAGAAATAAAATTAATATCAATAATGCTTTGATGAGTTTAGAACTAACTTCACGTTTCGATCACGATTTATAAATTTATTTATAAACCGGTCTGGCAAAATTTATCGTAAATTTTTATAAATTTGTCTATTGAATCCCATATTAAAATTATTCGTCGAACTTCTCTTGATAGATATATGTATCGTCGGGCGTGTGGTACTCTTGAAACAATTTTCGAGAACGCAAGCGATGATGAAAGTTCAACCGCTTTTCAACATCAATCTGAAATTAACCTTATTGCCGAAGTTGATTCCATACAAGCATCCAATGAAAATCGCGGTGCGATTTCATCAATCAACCAACTCCAGAGTGGCAAAACCGGAAAAAGACATAGTATTAAGAGATTCGTGACGCAGTAATTGACCCCAGTTACTCGGGCCAAGTCT